TTCAGCACACTTGCTGAGGAGGAGTAGGTCGTTAGGATTACAGTTGCCTCGTCCGTTTTTCCATAAAGTTCCTTGCCATATGTCAGCACCTCTGCTAATTCTGGCATTGAAGTCACCAAGGAGCACAACCTTATCTTCTGGGGGGATAGAGGTTAGCACTCTGTCAAGGTCAGCGTAAAAGGCCTCCATGATGTTATCCTCTGTATCCAGTGTTGGGGGCATATGCACTGATGAAGAATGTATCACGCGATTGAACCAAACGTCCTCGGAACGCCATGAGGTGCTCATTGATCCCAACAGTCATTTCAATTAGCCTATGCAGGATGAGTTGGTTAATATCAAAGCCGTAAATGCGGTTTCTCTTTTCAGCAGGCTTACCCTTCCAGAAGAAGGAATAGCCAGACCCACGTTCCGTGAGTCGACCCTCGTCTGGGAGCAGGGACTCAGTAATGGCTGCTATGTCGATGTTATACCTAGACATTTGTTTTGCCATAAGGACGGTTCTTCATTCAAGACGCTCATTTTTGCCAGTTACAGAAGTACCCTTACATTTTATGCAACGACCATAAGAGGCTGTATAGTTTGTTTTTTGCTTTGATCTGTGATTGTAATTATGTTTATGACCCCATAAAGATGACCTTACTGGTTGCGGTTGCCTTGCGGGCTATGTTTAGGGGTGAGCGGAGTGGCTCCTGATAAGGGCTGCTCAGTCACAGAGATAGGACCAGATTGCACTGCTGTCTAGATCCCAGTGCATAAGTGACCATCTTGTCTATGCCATAATATTTTTTGGGCGGATAGGTGTTTTGATGATGGTGAGAAGTATGGTGAGCTGGATGATGCCTGCACGTGAGTTGATTTATGTGGTGAGGCTAGAGAGGGTTGCAGCCACACATCTTGGCTTTCTCTTTTCCTGATCCATTGGTACAGGTAGTTGCAACGACTTGGGAGAGGGAGAGTTGCAATGAACTGCCGATAGCCCAGTTTGTTGAGCTTCGCCTTCGGTAGTAGGTAGTAGGCAGCTACCAAACAGGAAGGTACTACCGCCTGGGAAGATATTGGAAGCATAATGTGTTGTCTAATGGTAGACCCTGCTGCCATATGACATCATGAAAATTGTGACCAAGTCCCAGGCTGCTGAACTGACTTTCTGCCCCATTTACACACAATTGCAGTCTCATTGTTTCTCTTACTCTTCACAACACAACATACATATAATGTTTCTCACTTTTTATTTTTTCATTTTGTATTTCTTTATGGTTCTTTATTATTATTATTATTATTATTATTATTATTATTATTATTATTATTATTATTATTATTATTATTAATATTATTATTATTATTATTATTATTATTATTTTTTATAATACTTTATTATTCTATTTTTAATTTTATATTTTTTATTATAAATTTTATTTACTATGAATTATTATTATTATTTTTATTAATATTTTATTATTCTATTTTTATTTTTTATTATAAATTTTATTTACTGAGAATTATTATTATTATTATTATTATTATTATTATTATTATTATTATTATTATTATTATTATTATTATTATTATTATTATTATTATTATTATTATTATTATTATTATTATTATTATTATTATTATTATTATTATTATTATTATTATTATTATTATTGTTATTATTATTATTATTATTATTATTATTATTATTATTATTATTATTATTATTATTATTATTATTATTATTATTATTATTATTATTATTATTATTATTATTATTAGTAGTAGTAGTAGTAGTAGTAGTATTACATCCCCCCCCCCAGGCCGCGATGTGGGTCAGTGACCTGTGCCTGGGTGGCTTAATCCGCGAAAAAAATAAATAAATAAAAAAGTAGCCTGTCCATCTTGCATTGTCTTCATCCGCCTGTGTAGTCGTTGGGTTCCCATGTTGGTCACCTCTTCAGTATATTTCGCCTTTGGGATTCTTACTGGAGCTCAGTGAGCGTGTCTACCTGATACGGGGCTTCACCCGCAGATTTTTCGTTCGGGGTTAATCCATAAGGCAGCGGATCAGTGGTTGGTAGGAGCCGTGGCGTGTTCACGGCCTTTGCGCCGTCCCTCTGAGGTCCACTGCGGCTCCGAGATCCCATGCTAGTATATCCTGTGTCGGCGAGGCACCCAGTTACCATGTGTTGCCACGAGGGGGCACAGCAGGAGTCTTGGTGGTGAAGAGGCTGTGTACTGGCAGTGGAAGACTTACACAAAGTTGTTTCCCTGTTCACTACAAGGGCTAGCCGGCTGCAGTAGCTGAAAGTGAGAGGAAGCACGTAGTGCCTGCACCTTAACACTAACATAATGCTGCCACACTAGACGCATTACACCACCCTGCGCACACACACACGCACACACACAGTGGGCAGTGGATAGTTCACCATCCCTGGACTGAACCACCAAGTGCGGATTATGTAGACACCAAATGGATAAATTACACCAGCACCACCTTGGAAGCTCACCACCACTTCTTCCTGGAGAAGTCCGTCAGATTAAACCCAGCTGACTTGCCGTGGATCGCACCTCGGATCAAAAGACTTATGCAGCAGAGACAGGGCCTTTTGTCTCAATGACCACAACTGCTACAGGTCTCTTTGCAGCCAAGCCATCCTTGAAATACGCCCTGTAAAGAAGTCTTATTACCCAACCAAGCTGCGACACCCGAAGCAGACCAACATCACCCAGTGGTAGGGTAAGATTAAAATCTCTATGGACTAAACAGTAAGGGCTCGTTTACACGATCAGTTAGCACGCTTCGGATCAGTGGCGAAGCATGGGGTCGGAGCAGGGTACTGACCACTGTGTGTTTACTCGGAACTGCCACACCGTCGTTACCGGTCAGTATGTGGTAGACTGTCTTTGTCCACTCAAATGGTGGCCTTGACTCATGAGGGTCACTGGTGGGAGGTGTAGGCGACGGCACTACGTCCATCATTGCTTTTAACTTGCGCGTCTGTGTGGTGTGGCAGGGACCCACCTAGGTGACCACGCAACAATTAGGCTCCCACACGTAACTGCCCGGGAAGGGTTGGTGGTTCAGTGTTGCCGTCTGCACGATCACTGCCCGAGCACGGCTTCGTTACCATGCTTCGAAAACATGCTCCGAGACTGATCGAGTAAACGAGCCCTAAGACACACCCTCTCCTCTTCCGTAGCCATCTTACTAATGATGACTTAGCTGAACAATCAAACAAGCATTTTGCAACTATATGCCAGACGCTCCACCTGCTTGACACAACCAGCCCCTTTTCCCATTGTCTTAGTGGATGAATTTGAAGTAACAAAACGTCTGGACAAACTTAACTTAAATCGCTCCACCATCCCCATTAACTTATCAGTGAAACTCTACAAGAAGTTCTTCCCACAACTAGTTAAGCCCCTCTGCTCCATCATCAATGCTTCCCTCACTCAAGCAAGATGCCCAACTGACTGGAAGACCTTATATCTGTCACCAGCGCCCAAGTCAACGAGCCCATAATCCATATATTATCTATGACCCATTTCCATCACTCTAATACCCAGCTTAATCTACGAAAGTTTCGTGTTTGACTGGGGTTATGCTGATATTGCAGGTGCCATAAACCCTCAGCAATTTGGCAAAATGAAAACTGCCTCCCCCATTCGCAGACTTGTCAGCTGGAAAAACGAAAGACGCCTGTGACTGTCGCCTTCATTGACTTCACCAAGGTAACTTACCTAGTCAACCATAATTTAATCATCAACAAAGCTATCGACCTCGGGTTCCGGAGAAGTCTTATACCATAACTTACAGATTTCCTTAGTGACCGACGCCAAGCCGTACGCTTCCTAGGGGTTGTCTCCACTTTCCAGTCACTCACCTGCGGTGTCCCCCAAGGCACCAAGATGGAACCGCTCTGCATCCTTTTGCTTCTCAATGATGACCTAAGAGAATCCTTTGCTGGCTGGAATTTGTCGACGACTCCACCACTTGCATCAATGAGAACAATTCGGCTCCCAACTTCACCATCAACCATACCAAGACCATGGTTATGCACATCAACCTCTCCTCTGACCTGTCTCACCTACCTCCATTACTTTGGGCCCCAAAACACTTCAAATTGTGGACTTCACCAAGCTCCCAGACGTCACTATAGACAACAAACTAAATTGGAAAACACACGTCAGTAAAATTGTCAAATTCTTCTCCGCCAACTCAAGTCCCTCGGAGTTCCTGCGCCCAAGCTCCTCAGTACTTACTCAATATTCATACTTCCCAAGCTCACCTATGCCTTCCCTTGCCTGGTCTTCTTCTCTAAATGCCACACAACGGAAACAACTAGAAGAAATGCAGAAAAGGGCATGCAAGATTTTCTCTCCCCTCTTACTCCACATATCAAGAAGCGCTCAGCACACTGACCCTCTCGCCTCTATCTGATCATTACCACGACCTCATCTGCAAATTTGGTGAGAAATTTCTGTGCCATGCTCGACACCAGCTCTTGCTTTCACCCAAGATTCCTCGTCCGCGAATTGCTGTTCGACACGACAACCGCATCCAGACCATACGAGCACGTACTGATCGCTCTAAGAATAGCCCAGTCCCAATCATTGTAAAAATTATCAATAACTTGTAATCAACCAGTGTGTTCACTCCCAGCCAATTTTATGTTTTTGCACTGATACTATGTTGAAATGCCCTGTAGTATGACCTTCTCACCGTGTTGCCTTCTGGCTTCCATGTTCTCTCAATAAACCATTAATTATTATTATTCTTATTATTATTATTATTATTATTATTATTATTATTATTATTATTATTATTATTATTATTATTATTATTATTATTATTATTATTATTATTATTATTATTATCATTATTATTATCATTATTATTAATTATTATTATTATTATTATTAATGCAGACAGTACACACACACACACACACACACACACACACACACACACACAGAGCAATATATGTGATTATAATCTAATATATTGTAGGTACCGGCACGCGAGAACTCTTCAGCCATGTATACTCGTATGGACATTTGCAGAGCATTGAGGACGTGATCTCCACGCCTCACCAAGGTGTCGACAAGACGGGGATGTTCCGGCAGTGGTGAGTAGATAATGCGTCCTTGCTTCTCCAAGTCGGTAAGCTCAAGGTATGTTCCCGTCTCAGCTGACTAAAAAAAAAAAAAACAGTAAATGACAAAAATGAATGGAACAGAAATTTAATGAGTATAGTTTACTGTTCTTGTTTTATACACATATATAAAATTTCGATAGATATATATGAAAATTAATATCTTGTTTCACAGTCCTACTTGCTAAAGTCGCGAATAATTATTAGTGTTAAAGATTAATATTCATTCGGGCAACTTTAAACGAATTACCCCTCAAAAAATGAAGATTGAAATTATAAAACGTAACCTATTTTTATGATTATAAGCGTCTGGTAGTTATATTTCTTATGTCACCTCAACTTCCCTCATGTGGCGTTATCAACTACTTGGGCGAATTTTCAGGGGCTTTTGGCGGGAGCTAATGAATTTGAATCATATTCTGAGGAGTTTTCATATTTCATATATTTTTTATTTTGCTGTGTGAAAACGTCATTCGTATCAGACTTGAAACCTGTGAATATCACATAGAAAATAAGTTTTCGTCTGGAATTTTTTTAATTATAGTTTTAGTCGTGGTGAGGGTCGTGCAGGCCGTGTCGTGTTGCGTCCCTTTAACAAAGCGTAATGACATCTGGGCCTTCATCGCTGAGCGTCAGAAATTGGACAGTTCATCAAGATCGTCTTGGTGATGTGAATGTGTAAATCAATGTAGGATTTTTACTGTTATTCGCAGTTAAAGATTTAACTATTATTTTTACCTGACAGAATTTTGGCTGTGTGGATACAACCATAAAATCATTAACAGATGCCAAGATGTGATTGACCGTCCATAGGAGAACATAAGAACATAAGAATGGAAGAAACTGCAGCGGGCCTATTGGCCCATACTGGGCAGTCCCGTTTACACCCAACCCCTATTGCTCATATGAGCAGCCAACCTATGTTTGAAGCAATTCAGCGTATTCGAGTTAATGATGATATTTGGTAACTTGTTCCATTCATCCACTACTCTGTTTCCAAACCAGTGTTTACCTATTTCACGCCTAAATCTAAATTTGTCTAATTTAAAACCATTGTTACGAGTTCGCTCCTGGTTGGATAATTTGAGTACCTTTGTAATGTCCCCTTTGTTTAGCCCTGCCTTCCAATTATACACCTCTATCAGGTCGCCCCTCGCTCTACGTCTCTCAAGGGAGTGCAAATTAAGATGCTTTAACCTGTCTCTATACTCAAGGTTCCTAATGCGAATGTAGTACTGTGCCTTCAGCTAGGATAGCTCATAGTGATAACAGTGACCGCTGTGGAAACTTGAAAATAATTAAAGTGAAAAAATGGAGGAAGCAGCAGACATGAGTGCCTGGAAGTTATAAAGACACAATATTGGTGCCACAAAGAAAGAAATTTTCTGTAATTTCTAAAGGACTGGATTGTGCTTATGATCCACTATTCAGAGGGAGATACAGAATACTCAGTGATAACACATAGCAATATCATCAACCCGAAGAGGAAAACTGAAAAAAAAATACAAAAAAATGATAACTTTCTCGGATAGCAACATTGGACGAACGAGGGTGCCAGCGAGGTCATCACCAGTAGGACTTTTAAATAATTATCCTGCCATTAGGACACGAGCACACTCACTGAGATAACAATTCGGCTGGTATTGCCCTGAATGAATAACCAAAGAAAACGAAGTTATTGCTGATCATAAGGGAAAAATAACTTTAAGAGTCGAAAATAGATGGAGCTGGATCTTTGTTGGTTGCCAAACTAGAGCAGGTAATGGGGTTAGTTAAGAAGAGCTATGCTCAGGCTCTAGAAGGGTCACAGAAGGTGACGAAGCGTAATGCAGGATCCGAACAGGTCCTGTAACAACTAGGGGACCGTGCAGAAGATGACAACTAGTAGGCCTATTTATATGGGAGAGGAGGAACACCTGGAACAATTCGAGCGCAAGAACAATATAATAGTGTTTAGAGTCCTTAAGAGTAAGTCGGCGAATATAAAAGTGGGAAAACACACGATAAGAAGAAGTTTCAGACTATTTGTGCAGATGCTCTGAACCTGTCAGCTCCCCCTGGGATACGGACAAAATCCCCGCTGGACAAAATCCCCTAGGACAAAAACGCCGTGGACAAAAACCCTGCGGACAAAACCCCACAGCACAAAAACCCCACCTGATATAAACCCCAACTTACCGGACAAAACCCACAACGGACAAAATCCCCTGAATGTCATGAGCAACAAGTTGGGTCCACATGTTAATGCCAAGGCCTGTTTCTACCACTTAACACAAAGTACCTGGCGAAAGATCCAGAGCCTTGGGCTGAGTAACCGGTACAAAGAAGATGGCGATATCAAGCATTTCTGTGGCATGCTAGATGGACTTGCCTTTCTTCCTGTTGATCGTGTTTCTGATGGAATGGACTACATAAAGACAATACTTCTGAGGGATTCAAGACCTTGTTGATTATTTTGATGCGAACCACGACACCGTCACATACCGCCGCATTGGCCAGACCAGACAATATCCAGGTCCTGTGACAATGCGAGTGCGGAGGATTCCCCTATTATTACCACCAGAGAAATGGAATGTAAATCTAGCTACAATTGAAAACGAATACCGCACCAACAACCTCTGTGAGAGTTGGAATCGTGGATTCCAACAGCTGGTGGGCTACTCTCACCCTACAATTTGGACTGCTATTGAGCGCATCAGGAAAGACGCAGCCATTGTGTCCATGCATCTTACACTTGACGCGAGAGGGCAACCACCTTACAAACGTGTGAGACGGGAAACCAGAGACCTTCAAAAACGACTCAAATCTCTGTATTGATTTTAGAGATGACCGCAAGACATTGGAGGAAATGCTCAGAGGCATTGGGCATAATATACGCTTGTTATATGACAATAGTCCAGTATAACCTACACTTCATTTGGTCCATACATCGTCTGAGTAAGATATATTTTCAAGTGGATTTCTAAGAAATTAATAAAAACTCTAATTAGATTGTCTTATTTTTTTAACATGAGATAAATGTTTATACTTATATAGTTATAATTTATCTTTATCATATAAATTACATTTTATAATGTTCGCTATTAAAAACTTTAAATAAATTTTGTTCTATTTTTTACTTTGATGGGATTTTGTCCGTTGTGGGTTTTGTCCAGTGGGGTTTTTGTCCGGTAGAGTAGGGTTTATTTCCGGTGGGGTTTTTGTCCGCAGGGATTTTGTCCTAGGGAATTTTGTCCGGTGGGGATTTTGTCACGGACCCACTCCCCCTCATAATGTGAGGAGGGTAGGGCAAATGTAGGAGAATAAGTCCTGCCCCATCAGTATCACACTAGAGAATTTTTTTTTTTTTTTTTATTGGGCACCCCCCTACATCCTTGTGTAAGGTGAAGCGCAGAAGCGTTTACAGCGCCCAACAGGGAAGCATGCACACTAGAGAATGAGTATACAAAATGGTAAGTTATTCGGCAGGCTAAAAACTTAGCAAGAAATGAAGTATTTGGTGGCATATTCATAAATCCAGATCGCACGGTAATGTAGAGGGAACATAAAGAACTCCTGGTGCACTTGAAACAGAATAAGGAGGAATCGATGAAAAAAGGGGGGTGGGTTGTGCATGTTATATGCAAGGGGGAAGTAGTGGAGTCAAGTGTACCATTACAGAACCAGGGGACAGCGGTACACCCGCCATCCACCCTGCCTTTCATCCAGAAGGAGGCGAACATTATGTAAACGCTGTCATCTCTGGCCATACCACAAAATACGGTGAGTTTAGTAAACGAGGCAGCTGCTGAGAGTGAAGCGAGGCCGGAGGCACTACCAAGATCATATACGTTAACGAGGATTATTTCCTGCTTAGAAATCATCTACACTAACAATAACACTTTCCTTTGATAAGAGAACGTAGTTTGAAATCTCACTCAAGATACAGCAACCAGATATAGTAAGTGTTCGTGTAACAGAACTGTTGTATAAGAACTGGAGAATCGACCTGTGTAATAGCCAGTGTCAACATTATAGACAAATAGTACTTATATAAATTCGGGCTTTTTACATAGTGTGTTTATATACAACACACTACCCAGATTCACTAAAAACAGGGGCACAGACCCATATATCGTTAGATCATGTTAAGTTCTAATCATGAATTCATAGCTTTGAATCAGCATTTCCTGTCACGTTGGTAAGTGACATTCAGATTGCCTTCACGCCCCAGTCGAACCTATAGGGTAAGCATTTAACTCACCTTCTAGATAGCCAGACTAAGAATATCCAGCACACAACCTAGACATGTGATTGACTGCTCTAATCCTGACCCTACTATACATCATCTCGCAGCCCTGTGTAAGTTAATCAGTACATAAACCCAGTAATCTGATATATTTTTATAATAAATAGAAAAAGGTGCTAAGTGCTTATTTTTTACTATGAACAGTCCGAGATAATACAAACATATAATACGCAATATCTACTGGCAACAGAATCAATAGTGAAGCCGAAGTGCAGTGACCTGCCTTTACTCTATTTCCAAGTGTGACAGTAATGAAGATTACATATTCATAAAATTCTTCACCAGAAAGTCATATTAAAGTATTCCCACGTGGATAACCAATTATCCGAGCTCGGAACACCCAGAGGACTGTGAGACCAATATAGATGGATATGAATTATTTACGAAGTTTTCTTAGGGAAGTTGCAAGAGGGGTATGGTTATTCACGCTAGGCAAGGCCACAGAGCCAGCTAAGTGAGGGTGCAGGGAAAGGATGTTCTTGAAGAATCGAAGTTGGGTGTATCAACAGATCCCCAAATTGTAGCTTACTTAGCTAAAGGAACTTGAGAGCCTTAATTGATAACCTAACGGCGTTGAACCCTAGCCACCTCTATGTCATAGAGAACTTTAACTAATGAAACATCGACTGGAAAAAGGAAATCACGTCAAATAACCTTAATAATCCCACTACTCTTTTTGTAGAAATTCGGAGAGGCAATTTTCTATTCCGACACGTTCAAAATCCGATACACTACAGAGGGGAACAAACACCCAAACCACTGGACCTCATCATAACTAACGAGGAAGGTATTGTGGCCAAATTGGAACATCTAGCCACCGTCAACACCAGTCCCTACGAAACGCTGTCCTTCAGATTTAAGTGTTACTTGGTTCCTGACAAAAATAGGTCGAGTTTCAATTATTACAAAGAATATTCCAACCGGATGAGAGAGATGAGGGGTATTCACTGAGATATAAGAACGCAGACACTACACTGAATAACAGCCAGTAAGGTGGAATATATAATTTATAAATATACTCCCAAGACCAAACCCAATGGGTCCAAATATACAAGGAGACTCAGACACATGAATTATGCACCAAAGTCAGAGTGCAAAAGGGCTGAAAGGGAGTTCCAGAGGCGGATTGCATTCGAGGCAAAGTCCAATCCAAAAGTTCTACCGTTATGCAAAATCTAGATTAAAAACGAGTGTAGGCGTATCTGCTTGATGATGGTAGTTAGGCAGATTCAGATCAGGACAACGTGGAGGCATTAAACAAATTCTTTCCTCTGTGCTCACAAAAGAGGATGCAAACAATCTTCTTGCGTTTAAGGAAAGACGGTTTGACACAGTGCTGACCCATATTGTGTTCTCAGAAGAGGGTATAAGAAATAAATTGTCAAAGCTAAAGGTTTATAAAAGTCCAGGCCCTGATATAGTGCATCCCAGAGTGCTGAGAGAGTTGTGCAACGACCTTGCTGAGCACCCTAAGATCCTGCTCTGTAAATGCCTGGAGGAGTAACCGGTCCCCAGTGACTGGAAGGTCCGTCCCTCGTAACGCTCTTCAGGGGTGAGCTGCTTCCCCGTCTGGTCCCCGACGGCCAAGGGGTGACATAATTGAAGTTGATAAACATCTCTGAGTGTCCTTACCTGGAGCTGGATGGCAGACGCCCGCCCCACAAGGGGTCACAGCTCAAGGTTGAAGAAGCCACAAGTCTGGAAAATTCTGTGGGCAAACTTTTTTCGGAATAAGAATTGTAACCTCTTGCAACAAAAAAAAACAGAGTGTTGTGACGGCATCGAGTGTGAGCTCTTTCAAGATCAGACTTGACCAATACTGGCGCAAATACAGATACATTCAGGAGACAGTACCTCACTAGTATTTGCCAAGTGTGCATATCAGAGACGTGACCGATCGCCCAAGCGGCTAATGAGCCGACGAGTGGCGAAGAGGATAAACGTATAAGTATAAGTATTATTAACGTTAAGGGTTATATTAGGTAAGTGGATGGGGCACTTGTGCCCGGACACCTTCATCCTACCTTGCTACTTAACTTTACAGATGTGAAATTGAAGGCGATATAATACAGCGCTGACCACACTACCTGTTTGTGGACCAAACGCTTCGTGGTATCTTTACTGTATTTGTCTATTGGGTCACTCTTTTAGCTTTTACCTGATATACTTTTATCATTAGATCATGCAATAAACATGTCTTCAAATAATTTAGCAATTAATTCATTATTCTTTATGTTTCATCTACCTACTCAAGTTTTCCATGTCCACTTCTTTAACTATAGTGTCTGTTTTCCTTGTAATTATCCTTCATAAAAATAGTAAATATCATGATTACTTACATAAATATATTGTTTAAAGCTGGAACCCGCTTGCCATATCATGGTGGCTGTTGGGTCCCTTAGAAAGTCATCGATAGACTGATAAGGCTCTGGGATGTGTCTCACGGCCAAGAGGGACATGAGGTTGCCGGCGTAGCTCCTTGTTAACACCAGCGTCATCAACATCCAGACAGCCAACACCACCCGTTCCCACCACCACGAATCCGACGACTCAGCGAGGTCTGTGGGAAACAACAACACACCAGTTGTTTTTATATATAGCCTCTGTAAACAGCACTGTTCTTATAGTTATTAGTCTCTGTCTGAGTGTTTGAGGTTTGTTTCAGCACTATATAGTCAATCAGTCCTTGCCGAGAAAAGGACCTGCATTAACAATGAAGGAATTATTTTATAAGCCAAACCATTACACACACGTACACACACACACACACACACACACACACACACACACACACACACACACATACTTCCATTAATTTAAGCCCCGAACACACTCCAGGTTATAGACTCTACTAAGCTCCTCGGCGTCACTATAGATAACAAACTAAATTGGAAAACACACGTCAGTGAAGTTGTCCAATCCTCCAGTTTCCGTCTCCACCTCCTCTGCCGACTTAAGTCTCTCGGAGTTCTCGCGTCCGAGCTCCTCAGTGCTTACTCAACACTCATACTTCCCAAGCTCACCTATGCCTCCCCTGCCTGGTTTACCTCCCTAAATGCCACACAACGGAAACACATAGAAAAAGTGAAAAAGAGGGCATGCAAGATTAGTCTCTCCCCTTCTTACTCCACATATCAAGAATGCTCAACATACTGACCCTCTTGGCTCTCTCTGACCATCACCACGACCTTATCTGTAAATTTGATGAGAAGCTCACCATCCTCGACACCGGCTCCTATTACCACCCGAGATCCCTCGTCCACGAATTGCTGTTCGGCACCACAACCGCATCCAGCCCATGCGAGCACGTACTGATCACTATAAGAACAGCCCAGTCCTAACCATTGTAAAAATTATCAACAACTCAGAACCAACCAGTGTGTACACTCCCAGCCAATCTTTCCTTTTTGCACTGTTACTATGTTGAAATACCCTGTAGTATAACCTTCTCCCCACCTAGTTATTATATATCATATCTGCATCAGTATGTTACTCGTATATTATTTGTCAATCAAGAGACCCATTCCCCAATTATGCAACTGTATATTTTCAGACTTTCGGTTGCCATGCTCTTTCAATAAACCGTTAATTATCATTATTGTTATTGATTACTATTTCACACACACGCACACACACACACACACACACACACACACACACACACACACACAACACACACACACACACACACACACACAAACACACACACCTGCACCAGACGAAGATGTAGATATGTGTAAGTGATGAGTTGGAACATCTCATCTCATAGAAAACTCTACACTGACCTCCACACAAAGTTGTGACTGAGGACATCGATATTGTGTGTCTGCAGGAGTGTCTCACACCTAATGGTAAGCCCCCAACCAGTCTGCCCAATTATGTGTATTATGATCTTAGTTCTACTCACACATGTTTGATGTAAGTTAAGAAGTCACTACCGAATGTAGCTCGTGTATCCAAAAAGACTACCAATTTTCAGTACCATGGGATCACTCTCCACCTGGGTAACTTCACACTCAACGAGCTAAGCGCCTATGTTCACTCAGATCAGCTTCAATACACAGATCTCCCAGACTTTGTACACAGTGAACCCACTCTCGTAATTGGTGACCTGAATACCAGACACAGGAAATTAGGTGACCCCACCACTTACACCAATGGTAGGAAACTATCTCACTTTTCAGTGCATATTCAGATGCTCAAATTATAGGTAATAATGTAATAATGAACCAACACACATCTATGGCGGGGCTCTATACAAGTGTATTGGCATTAGTCTATAATACACCACAACTCATAGCTCTGATGTTATCACTGATCATATGTCTGATCACAACCCAATCCAGGCTAGTTTACATGTAGTCAATGACACCCGCACTGGCGGTAAACTCAACAGACGTAGACTAACAGTCAAGCACGAACATGAAAGCCAGTTCATAGACTTTATCCATGACTGGTACAAAGATTATAAGCCTTACAACTGCCAAAGACTCCATGATGATCTGATAGATAGGACTTATACACACTTCACCAACAATGGCTCCACCAAAAAAATTAGAAAACATGGTCAGCATCATGGGAACAGGCAACAGTAGTGCTTCGATGACCTCAAACTGAAGAAAAAATCCTTAGGGCTAGAGTCAGGAGGGTGGGCAAGGGTTACAAATAAATTAGAACACCTCAATTGTTACACTTGCATAAGCCTCCCTTGCTTCCACTAGGGAACGTGTAAATGAATTCAGACAAGATGAATGGGAAACTTATGTCAACAGCCTGAACCAACACACATCCCTCAGCAAAAACTGGAAAGATATAAACACAATTAGATGTAAAAACAGTAGACACGTCACCCACCCAAACCCTCTGCAAAAATCGAATGAGCTAATAACAAAGTGGGCTCATGTCTGTAGCTATGACATGTTATCAACTAGGAGTCAAGGACTCCTTGATGCGAAGTCTGTAGAGAGAACTATTTTCATTAACTTTATGCTGGGCAAACAGGACGATGAGTGTGATGTCCCATATACTGAGTGGGAGCTTGACGCCACCCTCGCCAGAGGTAGGTCTACTGCCCCTGGTGAGGAGGGAGTCACCTACAATACAGTGTGCAGGGCAATCCATTATTGGCATTGTACAATATGAGTCATGCCGAGGACCAACTACCCAGATCATGGGCCAATAGTATTGTTGTTCCAATACCGAAACCAGGACAGCCTGATGCTTTTCGTCCCATATCACTAACCTGCTGCCTGTGTAAATCCTTTGAGGGGGAAGGTTCTTGGCAGACTCTAATATAGAATTTAGAGAACACGTCTTCTAACATAAATGTCTTCACCCATGGGAAAGGTGTACATAATTGCATCACCACATTCCTAACTGTGCATGGGGATGAAAGGCACAGATACACCACATTTCTTGACCTAAAAGCTGCATTTGATATTGCCAATAGGCAACTTATATTGTACGAACTAGCCAAAATGGACAAGGGAGGTCAGCTGTTATACTGGATAAGTGTTTACCTTACCAACAGAAGGGCTGCTGCACTGTTTCAGGGTTAGAAAAGTGAAGTTAAGGATATGCAACTTGGGACCCCCCCCCCCCCAACAAGGTGAAGTACTTAGTCCAACTTTGTTCAATGTTCTTATGGATGCATTATTAAATTGAATAACAAACAACCCCAGCAATAGCACAATCAGCTATGCTGATGATATGTTCTTATACATACTAAAATTGATCGTGAAATGCAAACCATTCTGAACTATGTACACGCAGCCTGTGAGAACCTCGGTCTTGTTATCTCCATGGAGATAACTAATGTGTTCAACAAACAAGCTGGTAACCACGAACGCAGCCCCGCCAAGTTCAAGATAGGTAACAACACTGTTGACTATGTCTCTTCTCTTAAATATCTTGGTGTCTCAGTTCTTGTACCTTACCTGCCAATGCAATGACAGACTGAAACCTCTTTAAGTGTAGTGGGGTACAGCCCACATTATGGTGCTAATATTATAATTTTTTAAAACAATGTACCTAGGCTATATAAGATCTCTGGTAGATTACCACGCACCAGCTCTGAGCCTTCGTGACGGGAAAGGCATTGACAAGCTCTAAAAAATGAAAAATAAAGCCCTCAGAATTATCCCAGGCTGTCTCATAAGCACTAGGTACACCCATTGACAAAGATAGAATAAGTGAAGTCAACCTCATGATAGCCCAAAGGCTTTTGCATGGTGATCCTGATAACATTGTTTCCTTAAAATTTAAAGAATGTATGAATCATGGGACTGGTGAATCTAAATGGATCCAAACTACAACTACACATATGAAGATGTTTGGACTAGACCATCTGTACAAAGTTGAGACACAACAGCACTTCCTTCCACCCTGGCAGACAGTTCCCTTCGAAATCACAATACCGACATATCCGCCTAAAAGATTAATTATAAAAATGATTTATCTCCAACATACTGCCAAAGTGAGAGAGCTCTTGAATACATACAAACCCTACAGACTGATGATACTATCACACAGACCATCTACAGTACACTGATGGATCTCTTAACACCGCCTGTGGGAGGGCTGGAAATGCTATCGTTGTGACTCAACCTTACGGTAATACAATTGAAAAAGGAGTTAGAATTAACAACTGGGTATCCACTCTACAAACTGAATTAATTGCTATACTCACAGCTATTAAAGTTATTAAAATCACTGTCACTGACAGTCTTATCTTCACTTGTTCTCTATCCTCACTACTTGCCCTTGACACCATCAACTTGAGTTGTCACGAGCTTGTCTGCGTACCTAGTTGATCGGGGTGTTCGGATCAAACTGTTGTGGATCCCTTCTCACATAAGCCTCAAAGAACAAAACATAATTGATACCCTTGCCAAACTCGCGTCTAATGAAAACACTGTTGAATACAATCTGGGTTTATCCCCACAAAAAAGCTTTTAAATTGTAATTAGGAAGGAACTTATTGATGAATTAGACGCAAGCAGAGAATTGCAAACAGGCACTAGTTGATCCATTGTTTACCATGATGAGATGTATCAAGTGAAACAAGTATATGCAGCAAGTAACAAGATCACTAGATTACAAGATGTTATAACTGCTAGCTAATGTTAGTGTATAAGTACCTCTGGCAGTATATCCCTAAAGCAGATGTGAACATGACTAAATGTAAAGTGTGTGATCAGACATAAGGCCACACACTCGAACACTACGTCGTCGACTGTGTGAAGATAGAACCTTATAGGGTCAGGTCCAAGCACACTGTGTGTGAAATGACACAACACTTTATCTTTAATGGCAAGATAGCCGACATATTAAGATTGTATCCATTTTTTTGCACTTGGTAGCTATATCAGTTCCTACGTAAGGAACCAAACACACAATGTGCTTGAATACCTTTCACGCAAATGTGAATAATAAAGTGTATGGCCAGAAATACTGCCTCACACTCCTGTACTCACGCAGATGCGAATAAGTTACCCTCTATGTATATAACTAAACAAAGAATTTATTTGAAATACTCTGAAGCATTCAATGCCATTATATCCTGACCACGGGGGTTAGTTATACGGACCCTTTGTAAATTCTACTCTGTAATCCTTTCGCTCTACCGCTCACAGGATGAGTATGAGGTGCACGATAAACTAGCCGCTGTAAGTGGCAAAAAAAAAAATAACACACACACACAAACATCATAATTTACTCAGTTTTAACTTTAACTTAACTTGCTGGAACAATATGCGAAGGAATGTGAAGGTAATCTTTGACCACCCATCTTGACCATTAATCATCTTGGAGAACCAGTAGTGAAGCAGGAATACCATAAGAGGTAACACCAGTAGCGCTGTCAGGATGCCTGCCCATACCAGAGGTGCCAACGGTAGCAGGAAGCCCCACGGGTCCACCAAGGGCAGTCCTCGACCACCAAACATCCTACTGTACTCCACTAACATAGGTGTAGTGTAGTCAATCACATGAGCCCGGGTCCCGCTCACACTGAAAGGGCCAGCGCCGATATCTGCTTCCTTTTTTATATAAAAAAAATACACTTTTTTCAGTCTTTTGTTTACTGTGTAAATACGTACATACTTTATTTGTTAATGATGAACAACTTCACAGTGTTCAGATTTGGGAGACTTGTCGATTTGAGAGTTTTTTGCTTCAGAAGATCCTAACCTGAAATGCCATGCGTGCTGACATTTATGATTTAAACAAATTATGCTTCACAATGCAACAGAAAGTGCAGTTTTGTTTTTGGTTGGATGAATTCAAGTTTCTAGTTAGTGTGCTTAGGAAATTCTGGAGGGAATACGGCTAGGATCCACGATCCACTTCATGTTTTTTTTTTTTTTTACGGGGATTAGCCCACCCGGGCACAGGTCTGACCCACAATGGGGCCTCAGGGGCGAAAAAATAAGAATAGAAAATAAAATAAAAATAGAAAATGAAAAGGTTATATTCATCTACACCACGAAGATGACAGGAACCCAGCTTTTTAAAGTGAGACAGATTGTATGAGTATGAAACACAGAGCATTCCACAGTTTGGCTGTCTGAGGAAGGAAGAATGTACTATAACGGGTTATTGTAGTGTGACCGATATCCACAGAGAAACGGTGGGCACCGCGGGCAAGACGTGTGTTACGAGCCCACGGCCTTGCCGGTGGTACACAGGATGCCAGACCCATCGAACATTGCCCGTTAAAGTACATGTAAAAGAGAGAGAGTGAAACAACATTGCAGCTAAGAGAAAGGAAAGAAAGATTGTCAACTAAAGGAGGAGAGTTAATAAAACGAGATGTCTTTGATTTCACCCTATCTAACAGTTGGGCAGAAAAAGAGCCAATCCAGAGATAGGAGCAGTACTCCAGGTTAGGACGAATGAATCCCTTATATACTTGAAGCAACTGCTCACGAGTGAAACAGCTATGCCATCTGTACAACATTTCCAACTTTCGGGAGGCAGCTTTAACAATGTTGAGGATGTGTGGCTTCCATGACATATTAGAGGAAATGGTGAGGTCTAGCATATCTATTTTAGAGTTTGACAGAATGATTGCGTACTGAAATGTGACTGGTGGTAGCTCATCTAATTTGGAAAGAGTTTTATTACTCATGAATTTAACCAAGTTTCTACCTCCCAATTCGGAGATGCTGCACAGATCCTCATTGATAGATGTAATGATATCAGTTCTAGAAATAGATCTAGTTTGAGAGTTAAAGGGAAGGGGAAAATGTGAAGAAGAGTTAATTACCAGCGTAGGAATGGACAAAATTAGTTGTAGTGTGAAGTATATCATTGATAAAAAGGAGTAGAGTAGGTGAAGGAACAGAACCCTGTGGGACACCACTATTGGTAGAGAAAGAGCGAGAGATCGATCCCTCGACAACAACTGCCATGGATCGGTTCTCAAGGTAGCTAGAGATTAGAAAACAAAGTGGGGGAGAGAAACCATAAGAGGGAAGTTTAGAAAGCAAAGAATTGTGCCATACCCGTAACACCTGTTATTGATTTTAGAATGTAAAACTGCAAGTTGTTTTCTCAGATACTATGCCAAGGTATATAGGATCTTTAGCTCAGTTAAGCTCATATTTGATTTCTTACTGTGTATGTGTTGTAGTTCTCTGGGCTGTAAGCTGTGGTCTGATAAACAATCCTTACACCGTTCAACCCTCCGAATGGAGCTTATAGGAAAGTGCATAGGTTCAGTAGGAGGAGCAGGGGTAGGAGGGATAGAGTTGGAATCGTCTAACGTGGAATTAGAGGAGAATAAGGTGCCAAATTGATTGGTTTTATCAGGGAGAGAGTTGGCAATAGAGTTATCAGGTCAGAAGAGAGGAGGAAAAGAAGGAGTGCAGAAGTTATTAGAGATGTTTTTGGTTAAAGACCAGAAGGATTTACTAGAGGAAGAATTAGTCAGGACAGCGGTCTTTCTTTTTATAAACTTCCGCTTGGCCCTACGAAGAATAGCCTTACAACGATTCCTAGAAGTAATAAAAGAGGAGCAAGTAATTGGAAAAGGAAATAGTTACAGAACTTTTTGTGTTTTTTGGTTTTGTTTTGTTTGTTTACGGGGATTAGCCCACCCGGGTACAGGTCACTGACCCACATCAGGGCCTGGGGGGCGAAAATATAATAATAATAATAATAATAATAATAATAATAATAATAATAACAATAATATTAATAATAATAACAATAATAATAATAATAATAATAATAATAATAATAATAATAATAATAATAATAATAATAATAATAATAATAATAATAATAATAATAATAATAATAATAATAATAATAATAATAATAATAATAATAATAATAATAACAATAATAATAATAATTAATAATAATAATAATAATAATAATAATAATAATAATAATAATAAAATAATAATAATAATAATAATAATAATATAATAATAATAACAATAATAATAATAATAATAATAATAATAATAATAATAATAATAATAATAATAATAATAATAATAATAATAATAATAATAATAAATAATAATAATAAATGATAATAATAATAATGATAATAATAAGAATAATAATAAATAATCAATAATAATAATAATAACAATAATAATAATAATAATAATGTAATAATAATAATAATAATAATAATAATAATAATAATAATAATAATCAATAATCAATAATAATAATAATAATATAATAATAATAATAATAATAATAATAATAATAATAATAATACTAACAATAATAATAATAATAATAATAATAATGATAATAATAATAATAATAATAAATAATAATAATAATAATAATAACAATGATATAATAATAATAATAATAATAATAATAATAATAATAATAATAATAATAATAATAATAATAATAATAATAATAATAATAATAATTCATATTAATTAAAATTTATAATAAAATACAAAATTAAAAATTAAATAATAATAATTCATAGTAAATAAAATTTATAATATGTCCTATCTCTCTCCCTGCATGCAAGAGAGCAGGAGCGATCAAACTATGATTGCAAAGTGAAAGTTTTGGTAGAAGATGGGATAAATGCACTCATACCACTCTGTATAACCCCAGCAATTCTGTTAGCACATACCGAGGCATCCCGAGTGGAGTTTGAACATTCTTCCCAAGGAAAGTCGGTGAAGAATTCTCGCAAGGATTGCCAGTTTGCCCTCCGATAGTGTCATAGTTGACGTTTAGAGGGGGGTGGGGGATGTGGTCGTGCCCAGTTTGATTTAATATAAATAAGATAGTGATCAGAAGACCCTAAGGGGACAGAAATTGAGTATGAATAGTGTGAGGGGTTTGAGGTAAAACAAAGATCAAGAATGTTAGCAAGTTGATCTTGTCGATCAGGAACGCGTGCAGGGTGCTTGATTATTTGTTTCAAATTATTAAGTAAAGAAAAATAGAGTGCCTCAGCTCCACCTGGGTCATTCCTTGCAGAGCCAAGCCACTCTCTGTGATGTATATTGAAATCCTCTAGTTATGGGATCTTGGTGTCGGGGTGTGTGGATTGCAACGACTCATGACAAGAAGTGAGATAGTTAAAGAGTTCCAAATAGTTAGTATAGTTGGTAGAACAACATAGGAAACAAAGAAATATAGTCACAGTTGGTAGAGATATTTTGAGCCAGATGACATCATAAAGAGCATATTCAAGATCCGTGAGTCGTGCTAAAGGAGTACGTGTGTTGCTGTAGGCGCATACACCTCCCTTTGAACGGAAAGAGGTATAAAGGTTGTAGTTGGAGACTTGAAAAGGTTTGGGTGAAGCTGCTTTGGTCAGTTGAAGTTCGGAAAGTAGTTAGATGTCGGGGGATGAGGTTATTTGATGGTGCTCAACAGAAGGAAAATTGGATCTCAGGCCGCGAATTGTGGAAAAATTAAGTGTGAAAAAATCCGATCCCCCCAGCAACCGCGGTGGCGTCAGTTGAGGACCCAGTAGTTTGATGATGATCAGGTCGGCACTGGGGTCCACAACCTTCCTGACCAATGGGACCCATCCGAGAAGGCCCCGCTTCAATATTAATATCAACTGACATAGGAGAACAAAATAGAATGAATAGAACAGATCAAGAGTGAGTATGTTTATATTTGTTGTGTTATCAATAGTAAGAGAGACAATTGAGACCCTTTAATTATGTATAAATGTGGCAGAAAAACAGATCAGCAACCTGGGACTTGGTCACAATTTTCGTGATGCCATATGGCAGCAGGGTCTACCATTAGACAACACTTTATGCTTCCAATATCTTCCCATGCGGTAGTACCCCCCTGTTTGATAGCTACCTACTACCTACTACCTACTTCTTTTTCTTTCTCAGCACAGAATCAGTTTCCATCAACTGTTTATGCCATGCCACTATGGTATGTAGCTCTGGTGAACCTAATCGCAGTCCCGTGTTTCAGAACCAGCTGGATTCGGTAAAATGTTACTGACATCCACATAAGTAGCACGGGCAGTTCCCAATGAGAGGTTCACGGCGCTATCAGCTCGATGAACAGGCTCTGTGTGAAATATCACATAGTCTAGAACTGCTTTTAGTGCTCTTGTGGCATGGTTGGTAAGGTTCTCTTTCTCCCATGTATTAGGTCGAGGGTTCGAGTCCTGGCTGGTGAGGCTAAAATACCCACGCCTCATGGCGAGTCAAATAAGCTTAAGCAACGCCCTCAAGTGCTGTGGAAGCATTTTGAACTAGGCCTATATAAAACTAAATTTGCTTTATCGAATTGAATTAGACACGATTCATGAAGTTAAGGAACAATTATTAAATTTAAAGTTATTGTATATCATTTATCAGTCTAAATCTGTTACGTGTGTCCCAAAGAAACTATTAGTTACGGGAAAGATGATGTCACTAGCCAGGCGAACGCCTTGGGGAGACGCGAGGCGGTCTGGGTTTCAGTAGCACTCAGGCGTTTGGCCCAAGCAGATGTCGTCCATGCTTCTGTGCCAAGGAAAACGAACACCTGGCCTCTTCCCTTTCCGCGCACGTTTCATCAATGTTGCAAGTAAGTTTTATTCGATTTCAGACAGTGGGTAGAGAGGGCGGAAAAGAAGTTAACAATAGCTAACAGAGTGTTCTCTTGCAGGGTTTTTGAGAGTCCACGCGGTCGGTTGTTCGGTCAACGGGTGTTTAGCGGTCGTATAGCTGGCCACGCACGAGGTGAACGAGTGTCCCTGACGAGTAAGTATGTGGGATCAGCTTCCGCACTTGGTCGTTCTGGGTCATCAATTCTCCCCACCTTGGTTCATACAACACCACATCTCTTCAGTCAGTTAGTGAAAGCTCTGACTAAAAGGAAAATAGAACCCCTCCCTCAGCTGGGCAGGGTTCACCTGCTGACGGTCACTCTCTTCCTGTCCATGGAGTACTGAGAGTAAACTGAGTGCAGCCTGAGTGAATGAAAGGTCACACACTGAGACCAGGAGTCTAGTGGGTACATAGAGACATTTATCTCCCCAATATTGGTTGTGTGTGGTCGAATTAACCAAGTCCAGGTGTATAATCAACGCTCCTCATGGTTGATTGTACACATGGGACGCAGGGGTTCTTCTTCAAGGTTGATGAACGGCTGTAACACCTTAAAGTATGGGTGTGTTCTGAGCATAAGTGTGAAGCATGTTCCGGGTGATGGTGGTAAAGTGTGATTAGAATAACCAAGTCCAGGTGTGAGATCAACGTTCCTCATGGTTGATTGCACACGTGAGACTTAAGAGTTCCTCTCCAAAAGTTGTGAAAGGCTGTTAGTACCTTAAAAGTACGGGTGCATTCGGAACCTATGTGTGAAGCACTCGCCTGCCTGTTGGGTCATTAATGATTTTCTTGGTTTCTTGTAAATGCCTGCCCCTTAGCAGTTAATAGTTACAACCTTTGGGTTCTGGGTAGTTAGGACAGTTAGGATTATAGTATTTTGTGGGTCATCCCAGACAGGCTATGAATGATCCATATTCTTTTGTAGTATGACTAAAATCGGGATTTCTATTTCTCAGTGATTGCTATTATTTTGCCGGATGCCCTTAAGGCATGTTCATTGGTGCAAGTAATATTTTTTTAATGTCTTATGTACCACTAAGTGATGTAAGATAACGAAGGAATTGTTTTCAGATGAGTTCCTCATTCTGGTGTCTGTTCTGGTGTAGGCAGTATTGTTGCATTTAGTGTTCCTCTCCAGATGCATTTAATATTTTTTACTAATTTTTGATACCATGTATATCTTTTGTTCCCCATTGTAGTGTTTTTAAGCAACGCTAAGAAGTACTCTTGTGTTGGTGTACCATTATTGATTGTGTTTGTAGTGCTGGGAGGAATAGAAGTGTCATCTTATACAGTGCGTCTCATTAACCCCAATCACAGGTGATTGCTTTCCACGGTCACGGAGAATATTTTTATTTAATTGTGTTTGTGCTGGTTAGGGATTTTCTCTGAGGGGCACCTCCCTCCTGCCGCCCTGATGTCTGGAGCCACTACCTCTCTCCTTTCAGGAACCCTCCCCTCTATGATTTCAAATTTAGTATCTCTTTTAGCATTTTTTTTAAACCTGTCCCCATGGCACTGAAATATTACAACTCAAATTATCGATAAATGGTGAAATTCAAAAAGGATGTGCACATAGTCACGCCATAAAATGGATTGTTCCCCTGATCGAGGTGTTTAGCAAAGGGTGTAGCGCGGCGTGTGTGTGTGTGTGCAGGGGGGGGGGGGGAGGCATTTCGCTTGTGCTTGCAAAATACATTGATTCTCGTCATTCAATTTAGGTCGAAATAATTGTTAACATTTGCTTTAGCTCTATGAAATAGATATCGTTGGTATCCATTAGTTTCTTCTTGACAGCCCTGCAACACAGCTATATAAACAGGAAACGGTTGCCACATAACCGGGTTACCCTGACCTGCCGGGCACAGGACTTTTGACTGGGACTGTACATTGTGGGTGTCCACCAGCACAGCTCTGAGCAAAACTGAAGCCATGTATCTTAGTTTTGTTTGATGTTATTCGTGTTTCCTTTGATCAAGAACATTTTGTACATATAGTATTACATTTAAGAAATGTAGCGTCATCAGCGTTTCTTCAGCGGCAAATATGGATAAGTAAGACTGGCTTTAAGTACATTACTGTGTATTGCTAACTTGAAGGAAACTCCTATAATCTGCACTCCTATATTATATATTAATAGGTACATAAAACCATTACTCGTGCCTCGCTACACTCACCTTCCTGACCACCATTCCCACCATGCCGGACCATGACCCGTTCTTGTACCTTTTACCCCAAGACCCATCAGGAGGCCGCACATATGTATACCTGGTGGAGGAGACCCATTAGACAAGCCACTATAGGAATTTTAGGACATTCAGAGTTGAACGTCATGGTCTTTTCTAGCGTAAAGATTGTCAAACAATGGCTGTGTGGCAAGTAAAATTGGATTAATTATATTATTGAATGGCCTTAGGAACACCTTGCTGCTATGTGCCAGACCATTCTAAAATCACAGGTTGTAGATGAATAAAGGTTTAAGCACCATTGTACTACAAAATAATAAACCAGCATGTTTGATGAAGAGTGTTGATTTAAAGAACCAAAGAAAATCTTTAATATTTTTTTTTTAACAAATAGACAAATTGGAATTAGAACAAGACATTAATTGGTAAATTTAAGCATAACAAGAAATATCTAGGTGGCTAAAGGAGGAACGAGTTAACGTCGGAAGACCCTGGACGGAATCCTGGAGGATCCCGGAAGTGGAGGGATAGCTAGAAAGCTGATCCAAACAGCAAGAGACAGACCCGAGTGCCAGGCCAAGATCGCCATCGCCAGACACGTCACACCGATGATTATACATTAATTTATAAAACATTACTTTTTTGTGTTGTAGGTCAATTTAAGTTTTAGGGATCAGGGCAGACGAATAATAAAGAAGTTCTCTTCCAAAATTTACTCTGAATGAAAATGTTAACTCACGAGAAGTTGAGGGCCTTGGCAAGGTAGTCGACCAACGTATTCACAGGTCCTGTAATGATAAACCTCTGGCTTCCGCAGTCCTCGTGAGCATCTATAGTAGTTACGAAATTCATAGGACTTTTCTCGGACGCCACCACAAGGTCTGGCCGCTGAAGAAATCTACCAAGGAGGATATAAAAGTGCATTAATTTACGAAGGCTTGACGAAAACGTGTGCAAACGAGAAAAAGGCTTGAAAAGAAGACAAGGGAAGGTGGTTACGGTTTTAGGTTTTCCCCATAAATCATAAAGCAGCATTACATAGTCAGATAAACACTTCCCAGTAAATAAATGTAGTAACTTTTTGTTTTTGCTTCCAGTCCTTTATCTCAAAGGTGAGCATCGTAATCATACGTGTTTCACTACGGTAATCCCATTTTAATTTCAAGTCAGGAGGATACAGCGCAGATCCCTCGTTTTAAAGGTAGGTGTTCCGCGCCTGGTTCTGCCCCAGTTCACTGAGCTATGATTTGAGTTCTGTCTTTCATAATTTTTAATTGTTGGTGGTATAATGTAAATACTAACTTTGCCATGCGTTTAAACACCTTAGTTCTTGAAACGCATTAATAACATTTTAAGTCAACGTCAACGAGCCGTGAAGAGGTTCAGTACCTGACATTGAATGAAACGAAAATATGTGTCTTTCCTCTTGCCCATTCGTCGCTACATTAAGCGGAAAAGGCTGGGAAGGTGAAGAAGATAAGTATTAATAAAATTGCCTTATCTCACCTTGTGAACTTATGAGGGAAGAGCGGGAGTTGGGTTGTGAGGACCAAGCCTCGGTGGGGAGTCCAGGATGCAACTCTCAGACCCCGGGCTTCCAGGGATGTATAGGGCAGGCGGAGGTACAAGCTGCATCTGTAATAGCAGCCATTATTATTTTAACTATATTTTGGTTTTCCATTACAGTTTTTCAAGTTCCTTCATTGCAAACTAGACACAAAAAATCATGTTGTGTATATTGATTTGTAAAATAAGTCATTATGTGTTGCCTAGTACTTATGGTTTTCGCAAGCGCTCTCCACGATCAGTAACATGGAGTTGGTCATGGAGAGTAACTTGTATAGATGGTGAAGCTCCTGGAGGGGCAGGCGGGTGACGATGAGGAGCCTCGTCGACCACTCCAGGAGGCGGCCCTTCAGGGACCACTCTGCGAAGGCTGCGAGGAAGACCGAGTCGTCGCTCACCACCATAACCGTCACGCACCATGACACCTGCCGCAGCTGTTGAAGTCAACACGGTAGAAGTTAAGTGAGAGAAACCTGCCTGCCTTAGTAGTAATTTCAGAGGGACCTACCCGCCTCAGTAGTAATGTGAGAGTGACCTACCCGCCTCAGTAGTAATGTGAGAGTGACCTACCCGCCTCAAGTGTAATGTGAGAGTGACCTACCTGTCTCAGTCATAATTTGAGAGTGACCCATCCGTCTCAGATGTAATGTGAGAGTGACCTACCCGCCTCATGTGTAATGTGAGAGTGACCTACCTGTCTCAGTCATAATTTGAGAGTGACCCATCCGTCTCAGCTGTAATGTGAGAGTGACCTACCCACCTCAGTAGTAATGTGAGAGTGACCTACCCGCCGAGCCTCGTCGACCACCCTGGAGAGCTGCGTCTGCGTCACGTTAGCGTCCTGGTCGTCCACTGCCACCTCGAACACCCCCACACTCCAGGGAGCCACCAGATCATCTATGAACTATGAAAAATTTTGAGACAAAATGCGAGAGCCATAAATTATAATTTGTATAAAAATGATTTAATGCAAGTGACTTTTGCCGTCTTAAACTCGCCTTGAAGATGGTGTTTGTTGAGGTCCTGCCGTCTGTCAAAAGGAAAATAGAACACTTGCGGCTTATCCCTGTTGCCAACACAGAGTCGATCGCCCCAGTTGCTAAAGATAATATGTCGTTTTTGTCTGCCAAAGGTAAACGATATTATTGTTAGCGAAAATAATTGAGCAAAATTTCATGTACTCGCACCAACATTGAGATAAATTTTCACCATTGATACATTACAGTTTAAGTTAAATTAGTGTTTTAACAATGTCTTAGTGCTAGTGTCATTAAGCAGTGCCACAGGAGAGGCAAAACATTCTGCACAGTTATGCTCCCTATATTGTACACACTTACGAATATAGAGATTTTATCACTTGACGTTGATGAGATTGTGAGTGAATGGGGTGTTTGGGTTATATTTCAGAGAACAAAGTCTCATAAATATTGATTGATAAATAACAAGATTGTTTTCTCACAAGCATTTGGAGGGTGTTGAGCAACAACCAAGATGACAGCGACAACCAGGTGAAACAACACTCGTAATACAGCGGCCACCATCACTTCCTGTAAATATATCAAGATTAGAAGATATGTGCAACTTTATAGATAATATATTTGTGTAATGAATCCATGAAGGTAATGTTGATCAAGCATGAGTGTGTAACATGAGGATACATGCATAAAGTGATATCACCATATAGTAACTCATATCATAGTGCCATCGCTGGGATGGTGGTAAGCTCAAGGGGAAATAAGGAGGGAAAACGCAGGACCCTGAGCTATAAAAGATATTTCGTTCCAATTAGGCCAGAGAATACTGGAGGCTCGGGGACCAGTGTTGTGGATTCGCTGAATGATCTGGGCACCAGAGCAGCTAGTATTTGTTCAAGCATCTCAACAGGGCGATCCTGAACTGGCCCTTTAACCGTTGATTCTTGGAACATGCAAAACCCAACTGTCTTTTCTGTATTTATTAAGATAATATATTATTTACAGTTCCAAGTGTATATCACCGTAACTTAATCACTGTAGCTATGAGTGTTAAATGGGGACGGAGGCTTTGTTAAATAGCACTTTTAAAATACGTCCTGTTGGTGTGAAGGGTTGAGTGAGAATGAGTAGGAACCCGTCGATGGGAGAGCAAAAATATATTTGACGTCCTCCTTCGAGGGAGGACGGAACCATCCACGATGGCTCTCAATAACGTCTTCCTCTAGTGAGTGAAATCAAACTACTGCCCGCAATAGATGGCCAAAGAGCCGGCTACGTAATGCTTAACTAAGGACCAAGTGAAGCGAATTCCCATGGGTGCACCTTATCACGTGCTCTGAACATTCTACCTCATAGCTAGTGGAAAGTTACAGGGGATGATATAAGTCTAATGTAATTAACCCATTTATATAAATACTTCGGCCTAAAAAGCAGGGGCTAATACATCGCTCGGTCACACCTTCCAAACTCTGCAAGGAATAAACTAATCTCGCAGTAAAAACCCTATACATATACCTAACCATGTTACATGCATATGTGTGTAAATACTAAAGTGGGGAAGCTGACACCTGCAGTTGAACAGCTACTCAAACCCTAGTCTGCAAATCCTTATGGAGAGTATATTATGTACAATGGCCAAATTGGAAGATTCTAACTTACAAAACAAAATTATTACTTCCAATACCAACAAAATAGTGGAAATCATTAACTTGGGTCGTGGTAGTTGAGGACAGCCAGGTGAGGTTCTTAGATAGGACTTTTTGTGCAAGAGATAGGAAACGTAGGACTAGGGTGTGTATTCCTGGAGCTAGGATAGGGCATGTAGCTGAGAGGATAGGTAGAGTTTTGTCAGGGGAGGGTACCAATCCAGTAGTGTGTCTTAGTGTGGCAGGAAACGACATAGGAAAGGTTAGGAGTGAGGAACTTTTCAGGAGGTATAGGGAGGTGGTGTGTAAGATTAGAGACAGGGGAGGGATCCCGATAGTATGTGGTGTCTTGCCTAGAAGAGGGGTTGGTCGTCAATGGCTGTCCAAGGCAATTGCTATAAATTTCCGACTGGAAAAACATTGTGCAAACAATGGTTGGGCATTCAATGATAGCTGGCAACGATTCTATGGCAACGACTACCTGTACAGTCGTGACGGAGTACACTTGTCTCGTGCAGGGGTAAAGACGTTGTCTACATCCTTGGAGCATGAAATTGTCACCCCAAGGGGGGGAGGGGGGGATTTCGCCAGTAGAGACAGGTCGGGGAAAGTCGGAGTAAAAAAACAAGCAGGTCCTGGGAAGTAAAATTGGTTACTCAGGACAAGGGGTAAAACAGGACCAGGGAAGGGTAGGTTTAAATGTATACTATACAAACAGTAGGAGCGCTAGAAATAAAATAGACTTGCTGAGAGCGGTTGTATGTACTGAGAATGTAGACGTCATAGCAATCACCGAAACTTGGATGAATATGGCGAGCAAAATTTTTTTATCAGAGTACCACATAGAAGGGTATAAACTTTTTCACAAGGAAAGGGAAGGTAGGAAGGAGGGAGGGGTCGCACTCTTCGTCAAGGATACATTAAAATGTTGTATTAATAATTCAATATAGGGTGAAATAGGAACCGAATCTGTATGGGTAGAGATCACGGAAGGAAGAGAAAAACTAATTATGGGAGTGATTTACAGGCCCCCAAGTCTTGGGAAAGAAGCAGCTCTGCCCATATAGCAGGAAATGAGTAGGACAGCAAAATATAACAACCTGTGCATCAGGTTCACCCTAAATTGGGAAACAAAAAACAATGACAATATGGTCAGTGTCCCAAACTTTCGGTTGGCGGATTATCAGGGGTTAAGAAGGTACCTAGGTGAGGTCACCTGGGAACAGTCACGTCAGTCCCCAGTCCCCAGTCAAATAAGAATGAGCCAAGGTGGATGACCAAAAAACTTAAACATGACATAGGAATAAAGACAGGAATTTATAAGAATTTAAAGGGAGGTGAGGAGCAGCTCAGAAATAGGTACAATGAACTATCTAGGAATGTTAAGAAAAATGTAAGGAAAGCAAAGAGAGACTATGAAATTAGAATAGCAAGAGAAGCCAAGGCGATTCCCAAGGGATTTTTCCAGGTATATAGAACAAAGGTCAAGGACAAATTTGGGCCTTTAAAGTCAGGGAGGGAGAAGTGATAAATGGCAGTGAGGAAATAAGCAAAGCATTGAACAGCTACTTCTTCTCAGTTTTCACAGAAGAAATTCGCGAGGAAATTCCAGAGGTGGAACTGATATTTAGGGGAAAGGAAGAAGAGAAATTAAAGAATATCACTATCAGAAAAGAGGATGTTCTTAAGAGGATAAATAAACTAAAGAAGACAAAATCCCCAGGGCCGGATGAAATTTTCCCTCGAGTCTTGAAAGAGTGTAGGAAACAGATTAGCGGACCCCTTGCAAATTTATTTACAAAATCATTAGACACTGGAGTTGCGCCAGACTTGTGGAAACAGACAAATGTAGTACCATATTCAAAAAGGGAGACAGAGCATCAGCGTCAAATTACCGGCCGATCAGTTTGACGTCAATAGTGGGGAAATTTTTTGAATCAATTATAGCAGATAGCATCAGATCACATTTAGAGAAAAGCAAATTAATCTACGACTCTCAACATGGGTTTACAAAGGGAAAATCTTGTCTAACAAATCTGCTGACGTTTTTTAGGAAAGTCTTCGAGGTAGTAGATAATAACGAAAATTACGATGTTATTTACTTAGACTTTAGCAAAGCATTTGACAGAGTACCGCATAAGAGGCTTCTGAGAAAGATAAGGCGCATGGTATCGAGGAGAAAGTTTTAAATTGGATAAAATCATAACTCACAGATAGAACGCAGAGGGTCAACGTAGATGGTGTTAAATCTGAATGGGGCTGTGTAATCAGTGGGGTTCCCCAGGGGTCAGTACTAGGCCCACTCTTGTTCATAATCTACATAAACGATCTAGATACTAGGATCAGCAGTAACATAAGCAAGTTTGTGGATGACACCAAAATAGGACGGCAGATTAATTCAGGGTAGGATGCAAATGCACTACAGGAGGATCTAAATAAACTGCAGGGGTGGTCTGAAAAATGGCAAATGAAATTCAACACCAGTAAGTGCAGCATACTTATTATTGGAAGAACAAATAATGTTAATGTATACAGCCTTAACAACATCAACCTTGAGAAGTCGACTTGTGAAAGAGACCTAGGGGGACTTGTAAGCCCGGACCTAAGGCCTAGAAAACAGTGCGTTAATATTCGAAATAAGGCAAATAGTCTTGGGTTTTATGTCTAGAAGTGTAAGTAATAAGAGTGCAGAGGTCTTATTGCAACTATATATTGCGCTAGTCAGGCTGCACCTCGATTATGCGGTTCAGTTCTGGTGCCCTTATTGTAGAATGGATATCAATTCACTGGAGTCGGTGCAGCGAAGAATGATTCCATGTCAGGATAGTTTAAAGAAACTAAACTTGCATTCCCTAGAAAGACGAAGAGTGCGGCGAGATATGATAGAAGTATTTAAGTGGGTGAAAGGAATCAATAAAGGGGATATGGATAAAGTTGTTATAATATCCGAGCAGGATAGGACTCGGAGCAACGGATTTAAGTTGGATAAGTTTAGGCTTAGGAGGGAGATAGGAAGGAACTGGCTCACAAATAGGGTGGTGTACAGGTGGAACAAGCTTAGCAACTTTGTAGTAAGAGCTGGAATGCTGGAAAGTTTCAAAAGGAGGCTGGATAGATTCATGGATGATAGAGAGTGGTAGAAATTTTCGACAGGAGCTGCCATGCACAGGCCAACCGGCCTATTGGAGACTCCTTATTATCATATGTTCTTATTAGTCTTGTCATTCTCCTCTGGATTTTTTCCAAGGATTCTATATCCATTCGGTAATACTGTGACCAGAACTGAACTTGGCTTAAAATTCCTACTTATCATTACTCCTAAATCTCTCTCGCAGTAGGATTTCACAATGGCATCGTTGTTCATCTGGTAACTGGTTTCCCTGTTTACATCTCCTATACTGAGTACTTTACATTTGTCCACATTGAATTTCATCTGCCATTTTTCAGGCCATTCGAAATTTTTTTTTAGATCTTCCTGTAGTTTTGCGGAGTCCTCGTCAGATTTAATTACACGTCCTATTTTAGTGTCATCAGCAAATTTACTTATGCTGCTGTCTATGCCGATATCTATGTCGTTTATGTATATAATAAATAATAATGGTCCAAGTTAGATGTTAGACTGATTGGACGGTAGTTAGAGGATAGTGATCTATTCCACTTCTTGAAAATCGGTATTACATTTGCTAGCCTCCAGGATTCTGGTACTACACCTGTTTTTAAGGATATGTTAAGCAACTTTGCTAAGGGCAAACTAAGCTCTTCCATACATTCCTTTAATACTCTGGCAAATATCTCATCTGGACCAAGTGACTTATTAGACTTTAGTTTGTCTATTTGCTTACTAACATCGTTACTAGTCACTACTATCTCGCTTAATTTGTTTTCTTCACTATCTCTGAATAGAGTCGGTGCCTCGGGTATCATATTTAAATTTTCGGTGGTGAAAACTGTTGAAAAATATTTATTCAGATTATTGCTCATTTCTCCGTCATTATCAGTTAGCTCTCCAGTATCTGACTGTATTGGCCCAATCTTTTCTTGTGTTTTAGTTTCATACATTTGATAGAATCCCTTGGGGTTTGTCTTCGCCTCCCATGCTATTCTCAGCTCATTATTCCTTTTTGCTTTCCTTATCTCAGTCTTAACCCTACCGGCCAATGCCTTATAATAATGCCGGAGGTAAATTTCGCCACGATTTATCCTCCTACCTATAACCTTCCTTTGACCTTGTTCTTTAAATAATTATTTATCCATTTAGGGTCATTGTATTTTTTTCTGAGTTTTTTGTATGGTATGTTCTGCCTTTGTGCATTAAGTGCATATATATTTCATTAGGCAGTAACCCTACTAAATAGTAGGGTAACTGCCTAATGACCGGACCATTGTGGACACCTACGATCTCCTAGGGACTTGATCTCGCTCTCCTCTACTGTATATATTAGCCTTGTCAAGTATTTCTCCTTAGTCTGTACTCACCCCTGAAGATGTGAATTACACGATAGTGCTTGGGAACTTCGTGTTTTCTTGTTTCCTTGTGGTTATCAGCATATACCTGGATCACGCGCACCTGTGGATCAGGTAACACCTTTAATTTCAGTATGTATAGAAAACCTACTATTGTGTGTTCATACATTCAAAATTATTCTGCCCACCATAATGGAGTCAAACAGTCAATATTTTTATCAATGTTTTTACGTGCTTTGAGAATTTGCAGCCCGGAATTCATTGATGAGGAATATATATCTATGATATTGGCATGAACCTTAAATACCCTAGATCTTTCATAGACAAATGCCTGAACATTACTAAGAAATCTTTTTATAGAACCGATCCCAAGCCCATCCATGACCATAAGAATCTCTTAGTATTACCATTTCACAAAAATTTCTCTCAAATTCCTTTACAACTAAAAACCTGGAACGTCAATGTGGCATTTAAGAACCCATGCACTGTTAAACAAATGTTAATCAAGAACTCCCTCAACAACTCAGGTGGCTGCATTTATAAGGTTCCTTGCAAGGATTGTAATATGTTTTACGTAGACCAGACAGGTAAAGATCTTGTAACTAGACTTAAACAACATAAATATAGTGTCAGGACAGGCTAGGAATCCAATGCTTTGTTTGTTCATTTGAGGGATAATAAGCATTGCATTGCATTACCTTGTAATTCATATGACAGTAGGAACATTATAGAATCCAGTCTCATTAAACATACCGAATCCGTCAACATGAATTTGAGTAATGGTATGTACAAACTGGATAATTTTGTAAATAAGAAGATTTGTAACCAAGTGAGAAGGTTGAGTCATCTTACCCTCTGACCTGATTACCGACTGCTGCGGTGCTTTTTGAAGATTAGTAGGGTCACTACCTATTAACCTGACTATTGTGGACTTGATCTCACCTTCCTCTACTGGATATATATTTGCCTTGTTATGTATTTCTCCTTAGTCTATACTCACCCCAGAAGATATGAATTACACGAAAGCGCTTAGGAACTTCGTGTTTTCTTTTTCCTTGTGGTTATCAGCATATACCCGGATCACGCGCACCTACAGTGATTTAATTGCATATATATATATATATATATATATATATATATATATATATATATATATATATATATATATATATATATATATATATACTTCATTCTTAGTCCATGTAACACGCAGACTTTGAACATATAATCAACGACCTCACCAGCCAGGACTCTAACCCTAGACCTACTGTGTGGGACCAGGGAACGCTACTGACCATGCCACAAAGACACTAAAAGCAGTTCTACAGTAGACTATGCTATATTTCACATAAAGCCATGATTATAACAACCACAACCATGATTATAACAACCACGACTACGATTATAGCAACCACGACTATGATTATAGCTACCACGACCATGATTATAACAACCACGACTATGATTATAACACCAACGACCATGATTATAACAACCACGACCATGATTATCTCATATACTATAGGAATATCCATGTGTCTGTGTGTGTGTGTTTGTTCTGGGCAGCCGAAACGGCACAATCGTTTTTCATCAAACTTGGTGGAAAAATCGCAAAACATTCGTAGAGTGGAACAAACCTGGTCCCATGTCGAAGGTTTCTTTAGGAAGGCATTAATTACCCATTTTATTTACGCTGGAAAACGATGTCACTGTACGCTGCCAGCCTTCCGGCGGTTGCGTGCTAGCCAAGCACGAGCATTCGAAATTTAGCGCTTTGGTAAACTGTACCACCGGACTCGCCACCGGGCACGAAGTGCCCACGATCACTTGTATATATATATATATATATATTGCCGTGCTACACAAGTGGCACGGGCAATCCCCATTGGGAGGTTCACGGCGCCATCAGCTCGATGAACAGGCTTTGTGTGAATTATAACAAAGTCAAGGATTGTTTTAGTGTCCTTGTGGCAGGGTTGGTAGCGTTCCCTGGTAACACTTATAAGGTCGAGGGTTCTAGTCCTGATTTTATGAAGATATAATATTCTGTGCACGTGTGAAAGCCATAAATGATTATTACATTTTAGTGTTTGTATGAACATGGTCGATTTAGAGATATATTCTGGACAAACAATACAAAGAATCAGTTTAGAGTGGAATATATTTATCACAAAATACAGTTAATTTTTAAACATTACTTTATTATGTTTACTGATACAGCAACTTTACCATCACAAGAACACTGAACTTATGTCGACTCATCATTATACAGACACCATGATAAAAAAGGATCAAATACACACACACACACATATATATATATATATATATATATATATATATATATATATATATATATATATATATATATATATATATATATATATATATATATATATATATATATATATATATATATATGTATATATATATATTGGTCTCATGCTTTTGACCTTACTGGACATGATTTGTTAAGTCGCCAATTTTATAAGCTCTTTCTTTTCGTCGATCCTTATCTTGTTTAATCAAAGAAGTAAAGCCACTACACGGTGAGCCTCGGTATGATGAAGCTTTTACAGATTTTTGTGTTACCATATAATTTTGTGGACACGGAGACACGTCTACTGAACAACTTTTAGTAACAAGAGAGTCATCATTCTAACTCTTATTATTTTTGGGACTGCACCTTCACTGAAATGATTGATTTAGTATACATGATGCAATGCTGGTGCAGTTGCAAGGGAGGAATTACAGTGGACTCAGGAATATCACGTTTTAGATTTTCATTGGAAGGGCGATGTTATTCGTTTTCAATCGTGATGGAAGGTATGGGATTAAATCTTTTATGGAATTTTTTATTTAGTTTGGTTATTTTGTATCGACTGATTTCCTAAGTGGGGTTTTTCTCAGACTTAGACACGATTGTAGATAGATGAGACATTAACGCTTTGAATGAACATTTAATAGTTAATATTCATGAGTTTACACTAGTTTTTTCCTTGCTCCTTCACAGGAGGTGCATATAATTACATCAGTGAATATCTAGCCAGAGCATGTCAAGAATACATTGATTATCCTCTTAATTCGAAAATTTATTTTATGTAAATTTTTAATTTTTTTTAGATACTTAAAAATTAGACCAATATTACTGAACATATACTGCACTTCATTTTTTAAGAAAATTTTTCTCTAACAACGCCTTTTTCATATTTAGTAACAAGATTATTATGCATTGATACTCTTAAGTAGAGCCTAAAAAGTAGCTTCTCATATTCACTGTAGGAGGATGAACTGAGGTTAACTTTTTTCTGAGATATGTTCCCGGGCATTGCTGGTACAGCAGATCGAGTTTGAAAACTAATATTGGTCGTCTTAGGGGTCACTGAAAACGGAGGAGCCATCACAGCATCCGTCTTCAAGGCTTCTTTCCATTTCATCCGCCCATAATGTTTTGTGGTGATGTTACCCTCTTGTAGCCACCGATGAAGCCATCTGTAGACGGTGGTAGCGGTGGTGCCTGTGGTGTGGGCTATGGTACTGGCCGAGGCGCCATCCATCCACATACGAACAAATCTTGCACGTTCACTTAGTGTGGTTTGAGAAGTTCTGCGTTGCGTCCCCATAATTTTCCTCTGTAAACACAGACTAAAGGCTTATAAGGAATTAAAAACAGACTCAACCAGTTATCATTATCGACGTCAAGTTTATCACCAACGGCATTTTAATGCATGCACGAAAAAAAAATTATCAAGGATTACGACTTGAAGAAGAAGTCAGCATATAAAATCTTACATTTATGATTATAAATTACTGTGTCCGTCTACAATGCAATAATTTTTTTATGGCATAGTTTGGTATATTGAAAGTTAAGAGATAGTGCTTACAGGTACTATGCATAAATGGAAGATCACAAACGAAATAAATATTAGCTTTCATGGTGAATCTCTTCTTTGCCAGGGTGTGGATGGGTTAGTTGCAATCAGGAAACATTAAAAATACCAATAAATGGTAACGAATAAAGAATGTTTACCTTAATACTTTGTGAAATACCTCTTTTGATGTGTACACATCATGGCGAGAGATAAAACTGTAGTAGACCTGGATATAATCTGAAATTAATCTAGTCCTGACTTCCTGAGCGATGGCAAGGGAGTTTCTATGTGTGTTTATGTTAAGTGAAAAATTCTGCTGTGAATCTTTGGTTTTCACGTTTAGAGGAGACTATGTCATGTGTGTAATTTTGTTCCGCATGTTAGATATTTTAACAATATGAACCAGTGGGCTACAGCATTTTCATTTGTTTGAACTAAAAGTTAAAGAAGGTTTCTTTGCCTCGGTGATAACTTCTACCAACCACAGATACCCGACACCATTTCACGTAAGGCAGCACCAAATTATTGCGGACATTCTTGGCTAACATCAGGTAACTTGCTCCCTGAGTGGTGGGCTCCACTGGCACATCAGATGATCTCCAAATAAACATACGATCATCTTGTCCTTTTACCTTTGGGGACTAGTTATCGAAAATCCGACCTAAAAACTTGGTAATCAATAATATTGTTTCTACACACAACTCCCTGGTAGGTGTTGATAATGCTCATGAAGTATCCCATAACGAACTGTCTTCATTTTTTTTACATATATTAAATTCGGTCGTAATTCAAAATAATGATTTCACACGCTTACTTTCTTGCGAGTCTCAGCAGTCAGGGACATGCACGAATCCTCAAAGCCTTGGGTCTGCGTGATCAAATTTCTGGCACTTGGTCTGTGTCATCTGTGTTATTGATTCGGGTAACTTTTAAAGTTTACTTCTCTTAATATTTTACAATTTCTTTGAATCAACACTCAAATACTGATACTTGGTTTAAAGTTAATTGTCATATTGGTATATATTTGAAGAAATCGCGGGAGACACCAACATCCGATTTGCATCAGTTTGAGCGAGTTCTTGGCCCCCTTTATCAGTGCAATTTGGATTCATATCAGGTAGCGAAAACGATAGTGAGACAAAACATAAACTAAGATTTGTGATTTGATTTTGTCTGATAATATCGGG